GATGTCTACTCTGATACCAATTGAAATTTTGGCTATCAGATCCTAAATGTCCTATGAGATGTCGAGACACCGAATCCGACTTCACACACAACAGCAAGATGTATAGACAAAAATAACAGTGCTGAAAATAAATAACACATGATATGTTTACTCAGTTTGGAACAACTTTCCTACTCTGGGGACTACTAAGCCAGGGACGAAATCAACTAGATAGTATGAATTTGCAGACCTTATAGCAAACCTCCAGTTTACAATCTACGCACTTAACCACTATCATTTGCTTAACTTCTACCTAAGACACACCTAGATATGAGGCCCTCCTCAAATCTCTCTTCAATTACACTCAGCAATTGGAGCAAACTCTAAACACAAGTAGAGAACAAAAACCAACTAAAAGCTATACTTCAAAAACACGCAAGACCCAATGCTTAAAAGCTTATGAGAATTGACACATAATATGTGCAATGCTTAAAAGCTTATGAAGATCTAAAAAGAGAACTTACAACTCAACAAAACAATCATACTCTTCTATCAAGATGATATTAGAGAGGCTCACAAAATAAGGATTCTATAACCCTAAAAACACACACGTAAGTTCTACCTAATACTAGGTATACACCAGTCTATTTTTAATTTTATTCTAGACTAGTTTGGGCTTCAAAACTGCAGCAGTGAGGCTGCATAAAGTCTGCAAAATATCCTCCAAGAAAATAGGTCTTCAATCATTAGTTTCCTAATAAATCTCCATATTTAGAAACTGATCAAATCTTCGAAAACCAATCACAGAATGTTCTGACCAATCAATCTTGGACGCCACATAAGCTAACTGAATATTCAATAGCTATAAATCAATTAACTCACAATGTCAGCTTGTTGCAGACGCGATGTGTTATCTCCTCGTTGGGACATCTTACTCGACATATTGAAACAAAATGTTGAAACATCTTGTTCAACATATTATTGTTAAACTGGTTTTACCAAAATGTAAGTCAACGATAATTTTATATAAATAACACCTAGATTATTGAACCTCATTTTATGTCTCTCATGCTTCTCACGTGGTTGCAATTGAATGGATCAGGTTAGATGCTAATGTATGGGCTTGGGCTACAATATTCATGACAATCCACAAATAATATTGTAATGTGTTTGTTTTCATGTATAGAATAATTTGCAATCATCTATTATAAATAAAGTCATTATTATTTGTGAATAAAATGATCATTTGTACCATATTCAAAAAGTTTGACCACCTAGACATTAAGTCTAGATTATCATACACACCCAGATGTTAGATATCATTATTTGAATCAAAGTCAACAAAATTTACCATATGATCATGTCTAGTAAAACGAGAGAGAAAATCATCAACAACAGAGTCATTAAGCTTAACTAAATAATCACTTGCACTGGATAGAAGAAAATGACCATCTTCCCTCATCCAAAGGGAATGATTAGTTGTTCTCAAGTCAACAAGATTGATCATTTTTACCTAGGATAACACGGTGTTCTACGCCTCAAGAAAAAATATTCATTTGTACCCAAATAAACGTAATCATATGTACTCAACCCAAGTGACCACCCCTGCCTAAATGGGGAACTGGTTACTTGTGCTAAAATTATAACGACATGGTGTACAATGTCACCATAGTGAATATTCTCAATAGTCACATCATGACATTTGTTTAAGTATAAGGAATAAATAGATAATGATTAGTACAAGAAGTTGTTACATAGAGATAGTAAAATTTTAATGGCTCCACTCTTAATGGTCAAATGATTTGCAGGGATAATTAGCTCGAAATTCAAAATTCAAAATCCTATATAAAGGATAAGTTCAAAATTTGAAGGTTTCTCACTCAATATCACGATTGTTGTACTATTATGGAGTCACAAGAACTTTCTAAATATTTGAGACCTTTGCAAATCATTAATATATTAGAAAAGAAGAAACAACTAGACACACATGCTCTTTTATTCATTATTTTTTCTTAGAAAACTTAAAACTTGTAACTAAGTCCTAAGGCAAGCAAATCCGCAAGTGTCAAGCAAGAAAGTTCTTAAAGGTTTAAGGAAATAAAGTATCTACAGGTTGTAAGGAAAGGAACTCCTTGAGTGTGAGGCTAGTAAATTTAATATTAACTTGTCTTAGTGGTTATTTGTAACTATGTGAGATTATTATAATGGAAATATCTCGTGCGTGAGTGAACTAGACTAGTCAATAGTTAAAGGGTGAACTAATATAAATTTATGTGTGTGCTTTTCTATCCATATTCTATTTAATATTTGTTGTCATACTTTTTTGTGCTTGAGAATATTAAAAAATATTTTTTTAAATTCAACATAATTCAACACTTCTCGAATGTCAAGTCAATGATAACATATTTTTAAAGATATAAATCCAAAAAAAAATTTAATGTTTGTTTTTTCAATTTTCTGTCTATTGGATGTTAATACCTAGAGATATGATTAGATTTAATATTCGCACAAATAACTATATTTCTGAAAGGGTGTATTGAGATTTCATTCACTATTGAAATTTAATGTTGTTGTATTTGGTTAATAGGGCAAGAAATCATCCATTAGATAATATAATTGATTTCACGTCGTGGAGTCAAAGATGAGTTACGATAACAGCAACAAATGAGATATGAATAGGCGAGTAGAAGTGCATATTAGTGACCAATGATTATACACGAGGATAAAGGTCGCGAAACGTAATCGCAACAAGTTTTCTTATTATTAACACCAAAATTTCAATTTATTTTCTATCATTTCATTTTCGCAAAAAAACAATCTAAATATCCGTTTTCTTAAAATCATAAAAAAATTTGAACGACCTTTAAAATACAATACGATCAGTTTTTGTGAATACATTAATTTATGTGCTTTTGATCGATATATTTCTATTGATGTTTGTTTGCAAGATATTTCTATTGATTTTTGTTTGCAAGATAAATCCATAAGCCTTTTCCCATAGGAGACTACGGGTACCCAAGGCCTTAAGTTATCCATTCAGTTTGAAAGTGGTTCATCTTTTATTGCTCCTTGTTTGGGGAACCTGAGCCAGCTTTTTCCTGACTTATGTGGACATTCTTGTTTGTAGAATAGCAAAGAAGCTCTTAAAGTTGGACAAACAGATAGATTGTACTTTTAAGTTTACTTATTAGAAAAAGATAGATTGTTTGGTGTCACTAAGAAGTTAGAAATCATCGTAAAAAGGCTATCAAGGTGGCTATAGGTCGTGTTTCCTTTGTTCATTCTCTCTTAGGAAACCCTTTTAAGTTAGACAATTTCTTTTTTATTTGGAGTTGTTATTAAAGGAAATTTGTCTTCTCTTTTTCAAAGATTTAACTTACCATCCCAAAATTAATCCTAACACCATCCATATTTCTTAATATCAAAAATATCTTTTGTCAAAAAAAAATTTTTTTCCGAATTAAATTTTCTATCCGATCTTGAAATTTCTAGTATGTACAAAATTTTAAGTAATTCATTTGAAATTTCCAATAAATTACAATTAGTTCCAGAAATTTCAAAATTGCAGTTAAAATACTGAAAATTTCAAATTTTCTGATCAAACTTTCCTGAAATTTCAAAATTGCTGATAAAATCTCTGAAATTTCAAAATTACTAATAAAATTTCCTGAAATTTCAAATTTTCTAGTAAAATCTCTCAGAAATTTTGAAATTTCCGATAAAAATTTCACTTTTTAGAAGAATTTCTGATATCGCAAGAGATTTCAAAAATTTTGATGAATGGTATTTTCATACGTTTTGGGGTGGCAGGTACAGGTACAACTAACTCAGAGGTGGTAAGTTAATGCCCCTCTTTTTCTAGTCTAGGTTTCCTTGGGGGCTGTCATTTAGGGGCCCACATTTCTTTTTGTTTTGTGGTAAATGTGCTTTCTAATTGTGTTTTGGTGGATAAGAGCCATGTGGTAGATGTCTCTTTTTACTTAAACTAGTGATCTCGAATTAAAATCCAAACCTAAAAATGTATGAGTGTTGGTTTGCCATTCGTGCTGCCGACTAGACTCAACAAAATAACTAAAATTGCGCACAGAATACATTATTTAAGCCAGAGTTAAGATACCTAGCAGAGAATATCAAGCAGGTGCATGTGGCAGATGTAAACATCCAATTATATATAATATTGCAGAATGAACATATGAATGGAGAACAACACTACTGGATTATGCTATCTCTTATGTTTACCTATATTATGAAAATAAAAGCTTCAATATTGATTTTAAGAAAATATTTCATCTCAATACAAACTTATTATCTACTATGTGTCACTTATTTGGTTGTGCCAAAACAAATACTCCTAGGGAAAACTGATGCACTCCACTAGCAGCTATAGAAGGCACTGCCAAATCATTGTTGGTCAAAACCTTGGTGCTCAGATACCAAATTTCCTTTGTTCTTAGCAACAATTTCATATGCAACAAAATTTTAACATAAAATGTAACTAGATCTTGTTAAGAATAACACTAATCAACACCAAGAGTTCAAAATAATAATTAACAATACTAATACTAATACATAAAAGACAATGAAGAAAGTATTATTTGGAGCCTATCGAATCACAATTCCCTCCCAATGTTGCAATTATAGAAGTAAGAACATCTGAACATCTATAAAATTCAAAGAGAGTATAAAAGAAACTCAATATCACACCCTGTCTCTCATCTGCACAAATACAAAACTACAAAGCTAAAGAGACGTTCTTGCAAACCTCATAAAGTGAACAATGAAGTTGCATAAGCTGAATGCAAATCATGCTCACAAAGGGAAATGCAAATATTTCGAAAAACATTTTACTTGAAAGTACAAAATATGAATCCATATAATCCACAAAATGGCCAAACATAATCAATTCCATTAGTAGAAGTAGAATTGTCCCAAAGTTTCCAAAGTTTCCACGATTATTACGGAAGCATCAGAAAGATTTGTTTTACAGGAATGTTGTATGGTGCTAGCAAATACCTACTTACCTACTTTTTGCGCTTAAGAGGTCCAGTCTTGAAGCCACCCTTAGTCGGCTTTCCCCAAGGAGTGCGGGATCCTTTCCCCCACGCACCACTACTCTTGCTCTTGCCCTCTCCTCCTCCATGAGGATGATCAACAGGATTCATAGCCACACCCCGAACAACGGGTCTCCGACCAAGCCATCTGCTATGGCCAGCCTTCCTGAGCTTGCGATCTCCGTGAGTTGGATTAGAGACAGTACCAACAGTGGCCCTGCATCGAGAATCAATCAACTTTTTAACACCGGATGGAAGTTGGACTAAACAGTATGCTGATGTGGGCTCTTTCAAGATCTTTGCATTGGTTCCGGCCGCTCGAACAAGCTTTCCACCTTGCCCAGGGTTCAGCTCAATGTTGTGAATGATAGTTCCAATTCGCATTGCAGAGAGAGGCATACAACTCCCAATCTGTGAGTTTATGTCTGAGTACATCATTCTCTCACGTGCCTCATCGGGAATGGCGTTTGAAACCTGTGCTAAAAACCCGAAACAAAGAAACAGAAGCAGGATACTCAGATGCCATAACTAAAAGGGAACCCTAAAGTTTCATTACACTAAGAACATTGATTTAATGTTGGAATTGGGAGAATGAAAAAGTGTGAAAGAGAAAAATCAAAGTACCTGAAGAGAGACGACGAAGAGCATTGGTGAACAAATTGTGTACAGACAATGTGGAACGGTTTCTGAATAAAGATGCGGCCATTTATAATAAAAATTATGCTGTCTGAATTTAGGGATTCAAACTATGTGAATTTGGGGAATTGGGGATTAGGGTTCGAAGCTCTATGAAGGAAGAATGGGGCATTGGGGTTGCGATTTGAAAATCAAATTGTCAGGGAAGATTATTGATTTTGGGTACCACAACTTGTTACTCACCTCTACAAATTTTAAAAAGGTTGGGGTTTTACTTATAAATAATTTTGAAAATTTAAACATTTCCCATAACATACCATAAATTTAGTTGAAATTGAGATAGATTATAAAATTTAAAAACAAAACAAAATTAGAAAAAACAAAAATAATGATATCTACCATAAATTTAAATTTCTAGAAAATTTCAAAAAAAAAAATAGACAAATTGAAAATTTCAGAATATCCGATAGACATATTATGAAAAATTTCAAATTTTCAGGTATAGAATATCAAAAAAGTCTAATATTTTCGGTAAAATACTTACTTATCAACAAAATTTCTAGTATCAATCGTAGAATTTTTGGTATCGTCAAAAGAATTTTTGGTGTCGTCTAGCAAATTTCTGGTATCGCAAATTTTTTTTTTTAAAATGATGATATGCAGAAGAAAATTTTGAAAATAAAGAAACATCCAACAAGACTATTATAGTCTTTTTGTCACAAAATAGAGGTGTCATGTATAAGTCAGGAGTGGCATGTTAAAACCTCAAATTTGTTAAAACAAAAATGTTTTTTCAATAAAAGAATGTGTTTTTTTGTTTTTGGCAAATAAAAACACGTTTATTTGGTCTTAAATGAAGGACGTAAATGGAGTAAAATTTGAGGATTTTTTTCACCCTATAATTTTCTAATGCACCACACGAAGTTATAAAAATGTTTCTGGAAATCGGAAATATATTTTTGGGACGCACCAAGATTTGATAAAATGTAGGTTAAAATCGAAATTGAATTTCTGATTTGTACCCAGACTTACATTTCTTATTTTGTGTTACACGGAAAGCAGAAAAACAACATTGAATAATACAGATTTTATAAATTCAAAATACAATTCATATCATAACATATGTAATACATTAAGGATTGAAACCTACATCAAACATTACACTTCAACGTTGTTGTTGCGGTAGGGCGGCAAGCAAAAAGTAAGTTATTAATTTACCAGGTGATATTTAGGTTATATTGTATCGTGTCCACAGAGATTGGTTATTGAATCGTCATTCGACAAATCATTCGTTAATGAGTTTGAGATTTGAATGGTATAGAAAAGTATCAACAGAAAATAAATGTAAACAAAAGAAGAAGAAAAATTAAGGAAGAACTTATCAAGCCTGCATATAATCTACTCATCACAGACTTAAATCTACCGACCAGTTACATTCAACCTAACAATACTCATCAATGTCATTATGTATCACTCACAACCTAAGTCATTTCTAACCCAAATCGAGAGCGACTGTATCACAAAGGAAATGATCTCTTTAGCCCTCCTCAACAACACAGAAGACAACTATGTAATCACACTGACAATCTCTCAGCACAACACAACCACACAGAGGCACATAGGCATTAAGCTCTGATACCCAAGTAGATGCCATCTCTAAATCTATCTCTAGAGTTCAGAAACTAACAGATAATCATCCTAGATAAGAATCTAAGCAGTATATGTCTATAACAACTCAAATCCCTAGCACAGAGCAAAAATCCAGGACAACAATCAACAAAGATTTGTAAAGCAAGTTTAATATAACGCCATGGGCGACAAATATACATGAGTTCAAAGTAAAATACATACAAAACCCAACAAAAGATAAATACATAGAGAGGAGAGGAGATAAACCACAAATCTTCAGGTTTGTTAACTCCGATCAATGAGAAATTCACCTCCAATCATCCATAAGCAAAGCCTTAGTGTTGTTATTTAAGCTAATCCACTATAAAAATGAGGTTGGTGGAGTTGGGAGATAAAAATCATCCCCAAAACCATCACCTTTAAAATAAAATTAAAAGGAAAATATAAGGAAATTTTGTTCCGCATACATTGCCCGGCGACACAAACACATCACCCCGCGATGACTTCTATATACTTGGCCTAAACTGTACCACGTCCTCAACTGAAACAAATATTTAACATCGCCCGGTGACATACTTCTTCGCCCAACGACTCTCTTTATTTTTGCCTGGCGACCTAGACGCGAAGCAAGGCAGAGGCAACAACAAATTGTTCTTCTCGCCCACTGTCGTCCAACGACGCATGACAGTTTAGCAACTTATGTTGCTTCCACTGCATAACTTTCAATGTCTCTCTCTTTTGCCTTATTCCTTTATTGATCCAAAAATGCATCTTGGAGATTTTATTCTTCTTGCTCCAATAATGCTCAAATACCTACAAAATGAATACAAAACTATCAAACGATACACTTTATACACGAAAATGCATTATGCATAAACTAAACGTATTTATACCCAAAGTTAGGTTATTCAACTAATATTAACAACCAATAGTCAATAAGTGCAACAAAAAGTATGTACAACAATTTACACTTATCAAACTCTCCCCAACTTGAATCATTGTTTATCCTCAAACAAAGTCAAATAGCCCAAAGGAACAAAGAATTGTAATCAAAGAATCGTGAATCAACAGGTTTTTGAAAACGGAAAACAAATGCAATGGTTCAAATGAAAAACAGTACACACAAAGTAAACACTTACCACTAAACTACAACTATAACGTAAACACGAAACAAATGTTAAATATAAAAATTATGCCAAATATTCTAAAACAATATTAGTTCACAAATGCATCACACATAGAAAACACAATCATAGATAGATGAAAAACACACAAAAATGGGGTATTTTCACTCATCCAACAATCTTGCAAACAATAGACTAAATTATGCATTCATCCAAAAATTTACATTGAAAATGTAAAAACAAGAATCTCAAGGACTTTTCAAGGTTGTAATGTGGTCGGGTAAACAAACAAGTGATAAGTCCTGAAGCTAATCGAAATAAAAACTTGCCTAAACTTAAGAGAGTAATTAGTTCCACAAAGTTTCAAAAAGTAGAATTCCAATCACAATTCTTCTTCATCACAAGTTTCACGCCAACACACAACACTTATTAACACAACATTATTCCATACTCTTTTTGTTTTTCTTTTTCAAAGTTTTTCTATTTTTTCTTTCTTTCTTTTTCTATCACTTCTTTTTCACATTTTTTTTCTTTCTTTTCTTTTCTTTTTCTTTTCAACCTCATAGCAATCAACCAATAAATACACAATCATTCGTATTCCCAACTTGAATTTAACCAACATCTTAGTGAATAATCCCTACTTTCTAAGGCAAAGTAAAAATTCAAACCAAAACAATGGTTGAGGGTTCAAGAAAACAATGAATCAACATCCATGCAAAAGGGGAACTAAACACTCATAGACAAGCATTTAGAAAATACAACATGGATATCGACAAAAATCTCAAAGGGGTTATTAATGATCACACACTCACAAGGTGAATTGACTATTTGGCTAGGTAGTTATGCTCAAAATGAAAAAAAAATTCCTGAATCCTTTTCTTGCATTCATACAATCAACAAAAACAAAAGATTAAGCATAATAAAATCCAGTTAAAACAAGAATTGTGGCCTCCAACATATGTGAACAATGGAAAGCTACCTCACGAAAAAGGGTGGGAACTAAAGTGATTCACAAATGAAGAAGTATACAAAATAATGAATGGCATAAAAATTGTAAAAAGTCTAATTATCATGAATATGCTAAAGTATAGAAAGCGATAAACACATACCTCAAACGTGTACAAAACTTTAACAAAATCAATATCCTTCATTCGCAAGTCGAAACGATCAAACTTGAAAAATTACCTCAATATTCTACAAGTTACAAGACCAAAACTTAAGTCCAAACAACAACAAAAGAATTAGAAAAATAACACTCCTACAAAATTTCAATGTACAAAATTTACAATATTTGTAACGAACAAAACTACTCAAGCTAAACACAACAAGCTTTCGAAAACACAAATTGACATAAGAAAACAAATAAAAATAATGATATGAAAACCGGGTGAAAATGAATTAACAAGCTGAAAAGTTAAGATTTGAAATTCAGAATATTTCCTTATTTCAACTTGTTAAAACATAAATCACCGCACACATAAACAAATACAAACAAACATGCTTGTTTTACGTCGTAAGCTCGACGCCTTTATTGTACAATCTAGTAACCTCCTCTCGTCATGCCATGGTATTGTCACATCGTTCATACCTAAAGAAAGTGTCCTAACAATCACACAACAAACATTATGAAAACGAGACAATTCAGAACAATACGTGAAAACACATATATGCACAAATATAATATATATAAGTTAATATACAATTTCTATACAACATATACATTAATTAAAAAACTCAAAAACAAAAGAATCATCGCAATACGAAAATAATATAACCAATCCCCGTCAACGGTGCCAAAACAAAAGAATTATCGTAATGCAAAAAAATAGAACTAATCCCCGACAACATTGCCATTATGTTGATGCGGTAGGGCGACAAGAAAAAAGTAAGTTATTAATTTTCTGTGTGATATTTAGGTTATATCGTATCGTGTTTAAAGAGATTGGTTATTGAATCACCGTTCGACAAATCATTCATTGATGAGTTTTGGGTTTGAATGGTATAGAAAAGTGTGATACAGTGGGAGAACTGGCTTGGGTGTTTTGCGTTTTATCACAAATGTTGCGGATAGCAAGAGTCGCCACCGAATTTTCTTTTATCCAATAAAGTAAAAGGTGAAAAGAATAGGAAAGACCTTTTGAGAGTTTTCTTGAGTTCTGGGGGTAGGTTATGAAAAGGGAAGGTGTTAGCACCATTTTCATCTGTATTTATCTGTGGGCTCTTAATTGCTAGCTCACTTTGAAATTTCTCTGTGTTTGTGTATGTTTGAAAATGTTTTGAGGATGCTTTGAAAATGGTAAATTTTTAATGATTCTCG